GTCCGTCTATGTCCGCTTGTCTCATAGAATCCAAAAAGGACAGGACATAGACGGACATAGGCGGACATAGGCGGACATAGGCGGACATAGGCGGACATAGACGGACATAGGCGGACATAGACGGACATAGGCGGACATAGGCGGACATAGGCGGACATTAATGGACACCTAAATTGCTAAATAAAATGTTCAATTTTTGCTGTTATAGGGGGATCATGTTTTTTGTCCGTTCGGTACCCTATATTTTCAAAACGGACAAAAAATAGAGCGGACAAAAACGGACAAAAATGGACAAAAACGGACAAAAATGGAAATAACATTTAGATGCTTCCTCCTCCTACTCTTCCTCCTCCTCCCCCTGGGTCTTTCTGATCTTCCTCAGTCCTCTTCCTCCTCCCCTCCTCAGTCCTCCTCCTACTCCTCCTCCTCGTCCTCAGTCCTCCTCATCAGTCCTCAACAGTCCTCCTCCTCCCCAGTCCTCCTCCTCCTCCTGAGTCCTCCTCCTGGGTCCTCCTCTTCCTCCTCTTCATCCTCCTCCTCAGTCCTCCTCAGTCCTCCTCCTCATCCTTCTCCTCAGTCCTCCATCCTCCTCCTCAGTCCTCCCCCAGTCCCCCTCCTCCTCCTCCTATTCATTCCTCCTCCTCCTCCTTCTCAGTCCTCCTCGGTCCTCCTCCTCCTCTTCTCTCTCAGTCATCCTCCTCAGCCATCCTCCTCAGTCCTCCTCAGTCCTCCTCAGTCCTCCTCCTCAGTCCTCCTCCTCCTGGGTCCTCCTCCTCCTCTTCATCCTCCTCCTCTTCCTCCTCGGTCCTCAGTCCTCCTCCTCCTGGGTCCTCCTCCTCATCCTTCTCATCAGTCCTCCTCCTCCCCAGTCCTCTCCCAGTCCCCCTCCTTCTCCTCCTCCTATTCAGTCCTCCTCCTCCTCCTCCTCCTCAGTTCTCCTCAGTCCTCCTTCTCATTTCTCCTAAGTCCTCCTCCTGAGTCCTCCTCCTCTTCCTTCTGAGTCCTCCTCCTGAGTCCTCCTCCTCCCTCTCAGTCATCCTCCTCAGTCATCCTCCTCAGCCATCCTCCCCAGCCATCCTCCTCAGCCATCCTCCTCAGTACTCCTCAGTCCTCCTCCTTCTCAGTCATCGTCAGTCCTCCTCCACAGTCCTCCTCAGTCCTCCTCCTCCTCCTGGGTCCTCCTCCTCCTCCTCCTCCTGGGTCCTCCTGGGTCTTCCTGATCTTCCCCAGTCCTCTTCCTCCTCCCCTCCTCAGTCCTCCTCCTACTCTTCCTCCTCGTCCTCAGTCCTCCTCATCAGTCCTCAACAGTTCTCCTCCTCCCCAGTCCTCCTCCTCCTCCTGGGGCCTTTTCCTGGGTCCTCCTCCTGGGTCCTCCTCAGTCCTCCTCCTTCTCAGTCCTCCTCGTGCCTCCTCCTGAGTCCTCCTCCTCCTCAGTCATCCTCCTCAGTTCTCTTCCTCCTCCTCCTAGGTCCTCCTTCTGGGTCCTCCTCCTCCTCCTCCTCCTGGGTCTTCCTGATCCTTCTCCTCCCTCTCAGTCATCCTCCTCAGTCATCCTCCTCAGTCATCCTCCTCAGCCATCCTCCTCAGCCATCCTTCTCAGCCATCCTCCCCAGTCCTCTTCCTCCTCCCCTCCTCAGTCCTCCTCCTACTCTTCCTCCCCGTCCTCAGTCCTCCTCATCAGTCCTCAACAGTTCTCCTCCTCCCCAGTCCTCCTCCTCCTCCTGGGGCCTTTTCCTGGGTCCTCCTCCTCCTGGGTCCTCCTCCTGGGTCCTCCTCCTCCTGGGTCCTCCTTCTCCTCCTCAGTCCTTCTCCTCCTCCTCCTCAGTCCTCTTCTTCCTCTTCCTCCTCCTCCTCCCTCTCAGTCATCCTCCTCAGCCATCCTCCTCCTCCTCAGTCATCCTCCTCAGTTCTCCTCCTCCTCCTCCTAGGTCCTCCTTCTGGGTCCTCCTCCTCCTCCTCCTCCTGGGTCTTCCTGATCCTTCTCCTCCCTCTCAGTCATCCTCCTCAGTCATCCTCCTCAGTCATCCTCCTCAGCCATCCTCCTCAGCCATCCTTCTCAGCCATCCTCCTCAGTACTCTTCAGTACTCTTCAGTACTCTTCAGTCCTCAAAATGTTTGTCCGCTAATGTCCACCAATGTCCGCTAATGTCCACCAATGTCCATCCAAGTCCGCCAATGTCCGTCCGGGTCCGCCAATGTCCGTCCGAGTCCGCCAATGTCCGTCCGAGTCCGCCAATGTCCGTCCGAGTCCGCCAATGTCCGTCCGAGTCCGCCAATGTCCGTCCGTGTCCGCCAATGTCCCAAAAAACACGTCCGTTGTCTCATAGAATCCAAAAAGGACAGGACATAGGCGGACATAGACGGACATGACACCCCCCCCCCATTATGTAATATTATGTAATATTATTTAGTATTATGTAATATTATGTAATATTATGTAATATTATGTAGTATTATGTAATATTATGTAGTATTATGTAATATTATGTAGTATTATGTAATATTATGTAGTATTATGTAATGTGATGTAATATTATGTAATATTTTGTTATTATTTGCTGATTTATATTAATGTATTGATGTGACTGCCACTTGCAAACTTTTGTATCTTAAAATTAAGTTTTCATTAACTGATACAAACTGGTTCATTAATGAGTGCACCATGACGAAGTTACCAAGCTCACATTAATTTCCCTCAGTTGATGAAGCACACAGAGATAAGCTAAATTACGTGCTGATAGGCTCGTTCGCTCTGTCCGTACTGTTCTCCACCCTGTACCGTCCTACTACCGCGAGGGAGCAGATGGATGCTAACTCTGTGACTGTGGACCAGCTTGATTACAGGAGCATTCAGCAGGTGGAGAATGCTGGCTACTCCATTGAGGTGTCATGTGATTGAGAGAATGTGGAATGTGGATCATGCATTTTGTATATGTACATTGTACAATATACATCATCCACATTTTATATATAGTACAGTGTGGACAACTTGCTTAAATAAACTAAGCGTGGATGTTAACTGTTAAAAGATAATTGTTGAGTTTGAAATAATGCTTGTTAATTTGTTAGGACGTGTTAATGTTAGTTTTTACGAGATCAGAAGTTTAAATTGTTGATCCCTGCTGTCAGCAGGATGTTTTGTAAATGATAATGTCAAACCAGGAGGGTTTCTATTTTTTAGTACTTTACTTTTTATCTTTGTGTTTTGAAATGTGAAATGTTTTGTAGTATAAATATGTTTGTAATATAGATTGTAATGTTAGATATATCTTAAACGATGCTGGTTTTCGTTACATCACTCAGAACAGTATGATGTACTATAGTCTATAAAGACCTCGGCATCGCCTCAATGTAGATTGTAGACATAGCGATAGTAAACTCGAACTTTTCCCTCGTGGCTCGTGGGATTCACCTACTTTATCGGACGTTATTTTGGCAGACATGATTATGAACGCAACAGTGAACAGTCGTAGAACGTTAACTTTGGCGGACATTACGTGAGTGCTAAGCCTTCCCAAGTCCAACGCTCACGTTATTATTATATACTATTCTTCGTGATGTAACTTTTTTCTCTTTATCAGTTTATCGTGTGAAATAACTTCAGCTTTGTAACGAGAGATTGTTTACGTTGAATGGCGTGATTGATATTTTTAATCTTGGTAAAGTGTATTGAAATGTTGAGATATGGACAATTGTTCCGCTTAGGTCGAGGCAATGTGAATTAGGAAATGATGTATTACTTTACAAGTTGTTTTAAGTGATTTTACTGAATCTGTAGTTTTTTTCTTTTGATTTTAGCATGAGCTCAAATCAACAATGTTAGTTGTAATCACCTTCCAAATCCAATGATGAATATAACATTCATAATTTAATTACAAAATCTAACCTGCTGCTATAATAGTAGTCGTAACTACGATAATATGAACAGTAATAATTAGCGTTATTATAAACAGCTGACTAAGGTAGACAAGTCAGTAATGATGGTATTCAGCAGCAGTCGCCCCACGACAAACCAGTGTAGAACCTTAAACAAGGGGCCGCCTCGAGATAGGGGCCATCTACTTAGGATGTCCGGCAAATAGGGAGGAGGGGGGTGGTTTTGGAATTTCGGACAAATCCGGACAGGGGGAGGGGGTGGTTTCTGAAAAAAACGAACGTCCGGAAATTTTGGCAGAATTTCAATTAACGATAAAGTCCCATTTATTTCAACTCTTTGAATTTTATTAACAATGAATTTGAGTTGGTTTTATTTGTACTCTTAAAAGTAGCTGGAAATCCGGACGTCCGGGGGAGGGGGGGGGGGGTGGGTTGAAAATTCGGACACACCCGCAGGCACGTAGCCAGGATTTTTCTTTGGGGTGGCCTCGGCGAGCGAAGCGAGCTGACGCGTCCTACCCAGCGGGGGTCCAGGGGCGGAGCCCCTTGGCGGGGGACTAGGGGGGCGCAGGCCCCCGGAAATGTTTTTGAGAAATAGGTTGTTTCAGACGACATTTGGCATTAAAGAAATTTGTAGGACAGCAATAAACTGGGACTGAAAAGAATCAAGTACTCACGTAAATTAGGTAACTTCACAACAGCAATCTGCATTCTTCAATCAGAATTTACGACTCACTCAGGCCTTATCGTCTTAAGATTTTGATGCATTTCTTACAGTCTATAGGGGACAAGAACTCTGAATGGAATAAGTACATGTATGGAATAAGTACATGTATAGTGGGATGTATGGAATAAGTACATGTATAGTGGGATGTATGGAATAAGTACATGTATAACTATTATAGTGGGATGTATGGAATAAGTACATGTATAACTATTATAGTGGGATGTATGGAATAAGTGGGATTTGGGAATAATTTACGAAATGCTGAAGTCAATTGCCTGCCGTTCAAACAGTACAGACTGCAGTCATAAACACAGCCCAGTTTCCAGGCGACCATTGGGGCTAGGGAGCTTATTTTAGTCTGGGCTTCAATTGTTCCGGGGGGGGGGGGGGGGGGCCTGGCCCCCCCTGGCTACGTGCCTGCACACCCGGACATGGGGGAGGGGTGATCTGAAAATCTTCGATTTTGGTGGACGTCCTAAGTAGATGGCCCCATACGTCTTTTAATGTGTAAATACCATCAATATAAATATAAATATAATGTATAATGATATACGATGTACTATTGACTTCATTCAAATTCAATGAGGGTCGCTAATATTTATTGTGAGACTCATTTCACAATTACGAAACAGTATGCTTGTACAATACAACGAAGATGCTCGTTTGTTGTCGGTGCTGCTTTTATTTTTATGGAAATTTTTCTGCGTCTTCTTACAAATTACATTCTCTTTGGTCCGGTGGAAAACCCGGAGATTATTTTCTCCCGATCTATGGATTCTGACCGAAGCTCAAAGAGCCATATATCAGGAGTTAGTGAGCATAAGAAGTGCCCGGCCGAGTGTCTTAAAATAATATGAAAACCGCTATAGATTGAGATTGTATCACGTTGCGACCCCCACGGTCGTTTCACTATGTCCTGACGATACAGGGGGAGCCGCGCACTTCGTGCGCGGCGGGTCATACAACGTATGACAAAGATTGAGATACTTTTCTATATTTCTTATCAGCCGCAACTAGAAAATTTAAAAGAAATAATAGCAGCTTTATCACTCAGAAATCATCCGATTTGTAATACTTATAATAACAAATAAATTTAATAATTGGGGACCAAATTTGAATTGTCAATCAATTTCACAATCCGATATATTGTTGATGTTGGTGACATCTGTTTGCGCGGTAAGGGGTCGTTCACATATTACGTAATCAATATTTTGGCAATTTTTCCCCTCCCCCCTCCGTAATCAACCGTAATCAAGACCCAACCCCCCTCCTATATTACGTAATCAAGATTAGACACCCATTTATTTATTAAAAGCTATCAGAACGCTGATTACGTAATATGTGAACGACCCCTAAGAGTCATAGGGGTTTGGGGTTTTTTCTTTACACTGCTACTTCTGATCGTTAAACTTGTTGCAAGATGGTTTTCTTGTTCGTAACTTTTACCGATTTTTTACTTCAACCTTCCCCATTCTTGATAAAATGGTGTCTATGTTTGGCGTGTTTCGAGCTTTCTCTAAGTTCCAATATTTTATTTGCTGCAGTAGATTTCAATCAGGTTTCAGAAAGATATTTTCAAATAATAGTCGCGTCCTACTTGATCCAATCTACACCCAAACTTTCAAGCAATGAGCTATAATACATTCCTGCAGCATTCTACGTTTCTCAATTGTTATTCTCTTTATTAAACTCAACATTCAAAATCCTTGTTCAATATAAATGAAGCACACTCTCTTTTGTCTTGATCTGTTTCACTGCATCTTGAAAAAGGGTACACACTACACACTACACGACACACGTACCCTTTATAAATTTATATTATATTATACTGAGGGTATAATATATATATATAATATATATATATATCTTTATTAATATATCTTTGCTCTGCAAGCCTTATTGTGAACATCACTGAGTTCTACATTTCTTTGTCTTACTGACTTGTTAACTGCAGTGACTTGTTTAACAGCTTGCGTTGCGAATCTTTAGACTTTCATGAGCTGTTCATAATCTACTGGGTGGGCCAGAGAAAACTGATCATTATGAATTGCTTACCATTTCCTGATTTCTACATTTTGTGTCCGATTTCCACATTCTTTGACTTATTTTGTAAGTCAGACAAATATTTTTAGGATTTCATTTGATTGGTTAATTTTACACAGTGGGCTCATATAAAAGTTGACATCCAAAATCTTTCTGCGCTATTTTATTCTAGATGGTATGATATGCGACGATTTTGACTACTTCATTCGTCACCAACTCAACAGAGCTGTAGCGGTCTTATCTTGAACCCCTCAATAATACAGTGTTCATAATTTGAATACCTTTCAGCTTTTCTATAGTTTACCGTCCAAATAATTGCTAATAACTGGAAGTTATCGTACATTATTTACAGGTTAGATGCTCAATTATTTGCTTACAATTTTACGAGATGAGTTCAGACGATGTCGACGAGAAGAGAAAGTTAAAAGAAGATTATGATAATTCTGGTAAAGAAGTGGAGCTAGATATAAATGAAGCAATGGACGGTTCAACTTGTGGGTGGGGCACTTTACTCTACACAATTGGAACATTCTTCTTCTGTGCGCTGGAGGGTGCAGAGATAGTCCTCCTCACAATAATAGGACCAATACTGAGGTGCGAGTGGAACCTCTCCTCTGCTGCACTCTCGGGACTCCAGACCAGCACCATCATCACCATGCTGATCACTCCTCTTGTAACCTCCACATTTGGGGACAGGTTCGGGAGAAAACGAATCTCTCTGATAGCAGCTGTTGGAGTTATAACAGCAGGGACTTTATGCGGATTCGTGCAGAGCTACTGGCAGTTCATAGTCCTGCGCTTGATAACGGGAGTGTTTGTTGGTTTGGGCACTGGGCCAACTGTTGCTCTGAGTGGAGAGGTCACACCCACTAAATTCCGCGCTCTCGGTTTCTCTGGACTCTCTTTACCCTGGGGTATAGGAGCTTCAGTTACAGGAGGCATTGCTTACTTAATTCTCCATGACTATGGGTGGCGAGGTCTGGTTATTTGCACTTCTCTTGCTTTCTCTCCTTGCATCGTGTTTATTGCAGTGATCAGGGAGTCAGCTAGATTCCAATATTACAGAGGTAACGTGAATGAGGCAGAAACCACTATTAAGAAGATATACAAGATGAATGGTAAGGGGGATGTGGTGTTGAAACTAAAGAAGGTTCCACCAGGAAGACAAGATAGCATCATTAACTGCTGCATGGTCTTTAAGTTGCTCCAACAGACAGAGAACATGTCCAACTCTGTGCTTATCGTACTCTCAGGCATGGTATGCAATTTCGCCTATTATTTAAACGGCTTCGTAATGCCAAGGATTCTTAATGAAGGGTATTGCACTGGCAGGGATGTTTCAGTCGAAAGAACTTGTTCATTTGACATTGACACACTATTTGACATATGTATAGTCAGTCTAGTAGAGCCGCTGAGTGTTATCCTGATGCTTCTTGTCATGGAAAAGTTTGGGAGAATAAAATGTGGAATTGGAGCGGGCGTGTTAGCACTCCTCCTCCCTACCGCCCTCTATTTCTGTGTTAGTAGGTCTTGGTTGTTTTGGTTTCTACTCTTAGAGCGCATGGCTATCTCCGCAGCAGGGCTAGCATGTGTCATCTTGATAGCTGAGTATTCTCCAACTGTCATCAGATCGTTTATGATAAGTGTTTTAGCTTCAGCGAACCGAGTGGGCGGGATAATAGGTATCTTGTGTTCAGAGTACCTATTTAATGAGGGTGTAAGATTGGTTTTTGCTGCCATTCAGGCTGCTTTTATCTTTTTTGTCTTCTGTTCGATGGGACTGAGGAGGGAAACTGTTGGAGTGGACCTTACGTGATAGAATAGTATTTCAAGCCGAACTTTAACTAAAGCATTTTCCTTTTTTAGATTAAATTATAAAATGTATTACCTTAAAAACGACAAATTTAGTCTACCATAAATTTCGTCAACATTTTGACTAAAATTGTTGTAAACCAAATTTATTGAGACTACATTTTCCGGCGACTAATTAAAAAGCAGACCAAAATGTCACATATGGCATGAATTATATTATTTTTTATAATAAATAAAATGACATGATCTATGATCACCGTTCCCGGTTCCTACTGCTGAGCTACTTGAACCATTTAACATAAAATTTACACGTGTAATCCATTGCGTTTATGCTTTCAGATGCAGATCTAAATTATCTACTTCTCTACACAAGATCCTATTCCTACTAAATACAAAATTTGATTTTATGTAATTTAGCAGAAAAGACAATTTTTTGAGAAAAAACAATTATAAATCTTATTATTTATCAATAAGAGTAGACGTGATACAGTAATACTTTGAAGGACTTCGCCGCTTCGACGCGCCGCGCAAACTATAGCATTCTTGCTTCGCAGAGCAACGATCTCGATGGGTTGACAATCGTCAATCAAAGTGATACTGCACTAATACTAACGCGACTCCCACAGTGCTTACCTTGCTCTAACCAGAGCCCTCTCGCTTGCAGTAGCGCGCGACCGCCGTATTCAACTTGTGACCGCCGTATTCAACTTGTGAAACAAGCGCGTCACGCAGTACGCGTATACACATGGCTATGTGAAGTGCTTACATGGGGACCCCAGGCCAGGCCAGGCTATTATGTTCATTAACTCAGAATAGAGATTCGGCGGAATGACAAGTTGACCAATGACCATTGTTAATGGTTTGGCCCGGAGCGCGCTTGCCAAGTGCCAATGGGCGAGAAGAAAGCGGCGCGCGCTACTTCGAAGAAATTTTGACGATCAGTAACATCCGTCAAAATGACAGGCTGAGCGCCGCCCAGTAACCACAGTGCTTGCAGCTTGCTACAAGGCCGTGCAAAAGAAGTATACCATGCCACATACTTGTAGCGCGATGCGTTACTGTGCCGCGCCGAGCTGCCATGAATTGACATCGTCAATTAAGCCACATACAGTCAACAGTGCATGTGGTAATCGCGCGCGGTTTTATCTAAATAAAAATTTATTCGTTATTTGTTTATCTGATAGTTAATATTGCATTATATTATTGCGATCGGCGAAATTAAAAAAACTGTTTTGATATTTATACATTACCTAATATTGTAGCGCGATGCGTTATTGTGCCGCGCCGCGCATTCAATTAATATGCTTCTCGCAACGCCTTGTAGCGCGATGCGTTACTGTGCCGCGCACTCAATGAGGCTTCTCACAGCGAGATGCGCTACTGTGCCGCGCCGAGCTGCCATGAATTCATGACATCGTCAATTAAGCAACGCCAAACGCTAAATCGGCGAAATGCGCTACTGGGCCAGGGGCCTCGCCAAGCTGCGATGAATTGAAATTGTCAAATAATACATGGAGGACTTCGCCGCTTCGACGCGCCGTGCAAACTAGCATTCTGTACAATTGACGGCTGTACAATTGACAATATACATGCATGTATCGACGTATCGTAGCCACTAGACTTGGTCGAGCGTGCTAAATCACTCTACAGTCGATCTTCGAGATTATTCTAAAAGGGCCCCCGACAGTTAAAACCAACTTCAATCGATGTATTTTCGGACGCTGATTCTGAATCACCCCCCATGACATAGGGTTAAAATGCTCCCCTGACGAGATTTTGGCGAAAAACTGTCTCGATCACGTGATATGACCGTATAAGGAAGTTAGTCTAATTTCTCGTTAGGGTTAGGGTTTCAGCATATGCTTTTGTTATGGATTGGGTTAGGGTTAGGGTTGGGATCAGACTAGAGGGTTAGGATTTCGAATAGTCTTTCAGGGCCAGCTAGAGAACGGGTTGAAAAAGTCACGTGACAGTCGAGTGTAGAGTGATTAATCATCATCCAGACTTGGTGAAACGACAATGCATGGGGGTCACGACGTGATACAAGTCTTTACAACCTCCGGAGGTATGGGACCACTTTGTACCGTGTTTATAGATCGTGTCTCTTGAGCTGAAAGCTTAGGTAAAAAATTTTCAAACAGTGTACACATAATGTCACAATGACCCTATATTGTATATAAAAACAATCCTCAATATTTTTCCTATCTCAAATATTGGTATAAACGTTTGAAAATCACCTATGCACTATGGCCTTGTGGCTCCAAGTTCAAATCTAATAATAATAAATAAATAAATACAACATTTATAAATCGCCTTATAGCTAATCCTGGAGATAAACTCCAGTGCTTTCTAAAGCGGCTTTTACATTAACTGAGCTTAGTTTAATTGAAAATTAGACATGACAAGTTCATTTTACCTATGTAAATGCAAAATCAATCAAATGCTAGAGAAAAGAAGTATGTTTTAAGTTTGGTCTTGAAAGATGTAACTGACTCAGCTGATCTTATGTCGTATGGCAAGGAATTAAATACTTTAACTGCACAGTGACTAAAAGCTTTATCTGTGTTGACATAGTTAGGAGAGGGCGGTAAACTAAGGTAAAAATAATCATTATCAAGACGTACATTTTAAAAACTTTGCTGCCTAGGAGATATCAACTCTTTTAAGTAAGGAGGAGCTATATTATTTAAACACTTGTAGGCAAGTAGGGCAGTCTTAAAATCTATTCTAAATCTAACTGGTAGAAAATGAACTTTCTTAAGTAGTGGAGTAGTGTGTGCCTTTCTTCCTCTCCCGAAAATAAATCTTACAGCAGAATTTTGCACCTTCTGTAAACGACTTAAATCATAAGAGCTCAGTCCAAAATATACGCTATTGCAATAATCAATTCTAGAGAGTACTAGAGCATGAAAAAGCTGAATCTTAAGGTTAAAAGACAGTTTTGATGCAATAAACCACAAATTTCTGATCTGAATATTACATGCTTGAACCACTGACGTAATCTGATCACTCATTGAAAGATAACTGTCCAAATACAGCCCAAGACTCTTCACAGTTCCACTAACAACATGTGGCTCTTGATCCTTAACAATCTGTAGAAAGGCTGGAATATTTGTTGAGTCAAATTTAGAGGATATAACGATGACTTCAGTCTTAGAAGAATTCAGTTGAAGGAAATTGTTTGTCATCCATTTCTTGATATCAGACATACAGTGTTCCATATTGTGCTCTAGCTGTGATGGGTCATCAGAATCAAGAGTGAAATACAGCTGGGTGTCATCAGCATACAAATGAATACAGCACCCATGCATACTTGCAATGTTCTCAAGATCTTTGGTGTACAATATGAATAGCAGGGGGCCAAGGATTGAACCTTGTGGCACACCTATCTCAAGAACAGTTGCTGAGGAAGACGAATCCTTGACTTTGACACAAAATGAACGGTTAGCCAAGTAGGACCTGATCCTTACTGGGCCGCGCTCAGCCTGTCATTCCGCCAAATCTTTATTCGTTAATGAACATAATAGCCTGGGGTCCTCAGGTAACCTGATCCATGTAAGAGCAATGCCTGTAATGCCATAAGCAGATCTTAGCTTCTTGATTAATCTTGGGTGATTGACAGTATCAAAGGCAGCACTCAAATCTAGAAGTAAAAGAACAACTTTAGTTTTCTTGTCAATAGTTATCAAGATGTCGTTATGGATTCTGGTTGTTGCAGTTTCACAGCTATGAAACTTCCTATAGCCGGACTGAACTTTAGAAAGCAAGTTGTTATCCTCAAGATAACTGGTGAGCTGTATAGATACACACTTCTCAATGATTTTTGACAAGAATGAGAGATTGCTAATAGGCCTATAGTTAGATAGAGATTCACCGTCAAGGCCACGTTTCTTCAAACTTGGACGAATGAGAGCCTCCTTAAGTTTTATAGGAAACTCACCTTTAACTAATGATTCATTGACTATAAATGAGATCAGAGGAAGGAGTTCTGGGAGACACTTGATGAGAATCTTTGTAGGTATGGGGTCAAGATCACAGAATTTGTTAGACATATTCTTTATGATGCTTACTAGTTCTTCATCAGACACATGACGGAATTGTACTATCTTTGGGCTATTAGAAAGAGGAACAAATTCATCTGAGTTAGGAGAATCTTGGGATTGTTGTTCTAAATAAATGTTTTTGTATATGTTGTCGACCTTTGATTTAAAGAACTGTGCAAAGTTGTTAGCACTCTCAAGATTTGAAGAGCAAGAAGGTGTAGTAGTACTAACTTTTTCTTTATTGAGCAACTTATTAACGATGGAATAAGTCTTTTTAACATCACCTGCACTATCTTATAACCTTGTTTTGTAGAAGTGATCTCTTGTGGATACAATGACTGAGGATGCTCTCTCTGATGCTTTCCTGTACAGTCGTTTATAATCTGGGCAATCATGATTCAATGCCTGTTGCATGATGGGGCACTGCTCTGAGCTGGAATGGTGAGTGTTGCAGTGAGATGAGATTCTTGGATCTTTTGACAGACTCCAATTGCGACATCTATGTCTGCTAGGGTCTTCCTTGTAATGACAGTCTGATGTTCTATGCCTACCGCTGCAATACATACAAACCAGAGTTTCTTTCTCAGGACAATTTTGGGAAATATGGTGGAGCTTCTGACAATTATAGCACTGCTTGATGATGAATTTATCCTTTACAGGACAAGCACTATTCAGAATAAAGATTTTGCCGTCTCCTGTCAATAGGTTCCTAATCTGAGGAGAGACCTTGATCCCAGCAGTAGTGTACCTTAGTCCAACATTTATGTACACAATTTCAAAGAAATGCTCATTATCTAGCAAGTGTTTAAGTCCAAGATTTTTCAAGGGAATAATATCTAGAAGAGCTTTTTTAGTCTGTAACCGGAAATCTTCAGCGGGCAAACCAGAGCGATCAATGGTTTCGAATATCTGACTGGGAATATTAGACACAGTGACCTTAGGGAGAGCTTTCTGTGAGAGAGAGTGATGTGAAAACCAAGTAATTTAATGACATCAGAGTTTTCAATAAGACTTTTAGCCTTCAGCCTATCAGATGAAGATGGAAAAACTAGCGTTATCTTCTTATGTGAATCTAGTAGGCTAGTTTTCATAGCAATCAATCGTGTGTCATAGAGCAACTCAGATAGAACATCTGGAGCAGATGAAATATCAGCAGAAGGAAAGGGACTATCTAGCACCAATATCTCTTTACTTTCCTTGCTAATTTGATTTATGTTAGCGGACACTTTACTTGGCTGAGGAGAACTAGCACCACCTACAAGAGCTTCAGCAAAATTGCTGTAAGAGGACAGTGCACTTGGAGACCGGGATTGCAAGTTTTCTTTGTTAACATTAGAAACTCGCTCTTCTTCAGAGGCTGGAGCACATAGAGCAAGCTTGTCGACAATAATGCTATGCATTTCCTCACGAAATGATTCCAGAAGGGCAGAGTTGTTTGCCCTCATCAGATGCTCAACTTTGGAGAGAATATCAGGAGCTTCATCATGACCATTATCATGACTCATCACAGGGTTGGACTTAGAAGCATCTACCACAGATGGTACAGGTGGACCAGGTGGAGAAAAGTTTTTGGAAGAACGGGTGTCATCTACCAGTGAAATGCAATCTTCACATACGAATAGAAAATAACCCCAACGAGCTTGATCTGCAATCATAGGTCTCACCTTAGCACGGAAGGTATTTGTACAAATGGACTCAGGAAATTGAACACCGGTTTTTTTGCGACAAGCGGAGTGAAACATCCCATCACAGACATTACAGATAATCGATTCATTCACAGTGTCATTACTCCCACACTGTTTACACGAGCCGTCTTCAAATACAGGAAGTATAACAGAGTTCTTCTTTGGCTTTAGAGTCTTCTTGAGCTTCTTACTGGCCAGGGCCTCGTGCCCCTTTTGGCCCGCCATTGACATTGCTTCCTGAAACTCAATAAATGTAATAGATTTGTAGTGTTGTAATTAGTTTAAAACTAGACTATATATATTGACAAAGTTCTTTCTCGCACCTCTGTGCGAGATTTAGGTGACCACAAAAAAGAAGCCAAGTCATAAATCATATCAGAACATGGATCAGATTTGATCTGTTAAGAAGTACACTCATTGCACTGAGGGGAATCAGAAGAAGATCAACGGCTCAACATTTTGAACTGCAAGACGTTTCCTTGTAGATATTTTACTGTACTATTTTATATTGTATACAATTTTACGAACAAAATGATTCCAGGGGGACTCCCAACCCACCGCTTCAGCGGGTAGTTGATGCACTGTTCACAAGCAAGAGCCACTTTGGTCTACTTGCTTTCAATATTTTTGCCCGAAATTTTCAGAATCGATTAAGAATTGCATTTTTTAGCAGTTAGTTTATTGTGGGCAGCTATTATTATTTAGGGGAAAAAACCTACATTTTAATATACTTTAATAGACCACAAACTTGATCCTAATGACTTCAAGAGCTATCAACCTATTTCCAACCTCTCTTTTCTCGGTAAACTGATCGAAAGAGTTGTGCTAAAAAGGTTATATGACCTCTTGGTTAAAAACGATCTCAATGTTCCTCAACAATCTGCCTATAAAAAGTTTCACTCTACTGAGACCATCTTGTTCAAAGTAACAAATGACCTACTTCTGGCATGTGACAGCAAATCCTCCACTGTTCTTATGATGCTTGATCTATCTGCAGCCTTTGACACAGTAGAACACAGAAAGTTGCTCAAGATTCTTTCTGAAGAGTTACATATCAGAGGAACTGCTCTTAAATGGTTTAAAAGCTTCTTAGTAGGACGAACTCAAAGAACTAGGGTAGGCTCCACGACAAGTGATACAATCATTCTTGAATTTGGTGTACCACAAGGTTCAGTGTTAGGACCAGTTTTGTTCAACATATACATCCGATCTCTGTATAGGACTATAGAGGAATCTGGATTCAACGTGCAAGGATATGCAGATGACCACCAGGTATACAAAACCTTCAAACCTTGTGATCAGGTTAATGTTTTGGGTATTCAACTTGTAAATTGCGCCAGGACCATACAGCGCTGGATGGTTGAATACTGCCTACAGCTCAACCCAGGAAAAACCCAAATACTTGTGATTGCCTCACCTCATGTGTTGAATCAGATATCTTTAGGAGGAGTACTGCTGTCAAATGACACGTGTATCAGATTTGTCAGCACAACAAAAAATCTTGGTGTGCAAATCGACCATCACCTTACCTGTGAGCCTCAAATCATGTCCCTAAAAAACATTGTTTTAGACTCCTCAGGAATGTTATCAGAAGAAAGTATCTTTTTAGTAAAGCTCAGCTTAAGCTCATTGTTAATAGCATTATTGTCTGCAAATTGGATTACTGCAACGCCCTTTACTTTGGAATCAGTGACTACCTCATCCATCAGCTTCAACTCATTCAAAATGCTGCTGCTAAAGCAATAGTAGGACTATATAAACATGATCATTTAGGAGATACTCTGAAAGACCTTCATTGGCTGCCTATCAGTTACAGAATTCAGTACAAATTATTACTTCTTGTTTATAAATGTATTTTACTTAAAAATTGTATTTTACTTTAATGGCATGGGACCAGATTATTTAAGTACAATGTTTAAATTTGCAAACTATAATCATCTTATCTATTTGACTGAACCTAGAGTGCACACACAATATGGAGAAAGATCTTTTCAGAAAGTTGGCCCTAAATTATGGAATGAACTACCATTTGAGATTAAGAATTGTACAACATTGGACTCTTTTAAAGTGTATCTGAAAACATTTCTTTTCAAACGTGCTTATAATATTGTATCTTAATATTTTTTAATCCTAGTTTTCCCTATTTGGTTCTACTGGAAAATGCATACACATTATCGTTTATTTAGTGGATCAAGTCTAATCACCCTTATCTGGTTTATAATATAAATTTGGGTTGCTTTTTCAGGTTTTATTGTATCCTGAACTGTTTTGGTGGCACACCTGTGCATTTTAAGTTGTTGTGCCACTATAATATAAAAGTTTAAATTATTATTATTATTATTTTAACAGCACCTCCCCCCAATACTCTTTCTTCATACAAATCTTTCTTTTCTTTCTCATGCTCTCTATAGATCTTATCTAGTGGCTTCAATGTATTTGTGTCGTAGTTAGGATGTGTGACCCTGATGTCAAAGAATGTTCTTTTAAAGGGTGCATACAATCCGACGACTGACAGCTGCTACATAAAGACGGGCTTCATCCTGGGTGTTGGTCTTCCTTGAGAATGACCTTGGTAAGACTGTCAGGAGTGCTTGTTCTATCCTTATGTCTTTACTTAGCTTCTTGGAGGAAGAAAGCAACAGTTTCTCTTATGTCATTGTGGCGCATTGAAACGTATCCACCTAGTTTATATGTTAACTATTCAACAAGTTATCACCCTACGCGCGTGGGGTGGACTCCTGGGGTGGACTTTTATTCAGCGCGTATTTTGTAGCCTGTTCAACTTGACGTTTTGATTCGTTACTATCTCAATGTCACAGATACACAGAATGTGAGGTGATCATCTTAAAGAGAAACGTCTCAGCTTTCACCTGGTGTAAAGTTTATCTTTGTACTCAAAATATAGCTCGCTCAGTGTGCAATAGAAGTTGACAATACAATAACCACGTCTGCGACCGGTCGTCAGATACCGGAGTGTTGCACAAAATTGGGTCCCTAAATTAAAATTCTATGACACAGTTACCATGCAGAAATGTCTAGGGAAACATTTGGTGAAAGTTTCAACTCTCTACTATAAAAATAGCGATAGTTATTGAAGATAAACCGTGAGAAACTCCCTCTTGTCGAGATCAACGCTCTAGGAACCTCCCTTCTGTACCACGTGACAACGATTTGAGCGTCACGTGGCCGTCACGTGACAAAAGTGCGCGCATCGGATGGAGCAGTCTCGTGGGAAATCCTGATTGCCTGATCGATCTCGTGGGAAATCCTGATTGCTACGGAAAGGGCTGACAACCACAGTTATTTCCCTTCCTCAATTTTCCAGTTCACTTGCTCAGTGCTGTCAGTTGTTTTTTGTTTGCCCTGCTATATAAACTTCACTCCGTCATAATCCCCTACTCTCCTATCCAATGAACTGTTTCTGTTACAGCTGCCATTCTGTTGACTGGACCCTAACTTAGTCTTATCATTTTCACTTGATAACTTTATCCGTGTGCACTTTCTCGAAACTCAACTTATCTTTGTCAAGACTCAGCTAATCTCAGAACTAAATGTTGCCTTAACAGACTTACTTGTCACTGCACTGGGCCCTCCTTTAAATGCAAATATCATATGAGCAGCTGATCGATTTATTGCTTGAACTGTGCATCCTTTTTAAAAATAAATAAGGTCAATTTTACTATCGTGAAACTTAGTCACTGAAGACAACGCAATCTGGCTGTGCCGGTTCCCCTCTGCCTAGATCACTTAGAATATCCATAGTTAGCAATACTTTTATCGTTTAATGCAGCGATATAGCCAGTTATCAATGCTACATAGTAGATTTTAGCCTGTTCCAATCATCCTTATATCGCGTTAATGGAATTTATGAAATTGCCTACCGTTCAAATCGCTCTCTGTTGTTAGCACCACACTGATTAACTACGATGTTCCAATTTTTTAGAATTATGTCCGACATAATTCTAATTTTTGCTGTTACAGCAGATAGTTATGGTGTAATGGCACGCAGGAATAAGTCATCCCTGTCCTCCAAAAAGCCCATGAAAAGGTATTTGGTAAGCTATGTCTTTTCCAATATCAAATCCAATGTATCACAATCTGTGGACTTTCTACTCAAAAACTAGATTGATTAATTGATAATTCATTGCTGATTGTTCACGCGCCCTGTATGGAAGTACAGGGTGTACCATAGAAAGTGTGACTTTTTTGAGAAATGATACAAAATATTATGAAGGAGCAGTTGCTAAAAACTCTTCATCACATTGTGTCACTAGGTGTCGAATTTATGCATACCAAATTTCAAGTCCCCATCAATTTTTGATTTCTCACAAATTGCTATTTTGTTATGGTGCTAATTTAGGAACTTAAGCTTGCTGTAATTTAGGGGTCTCAAGAAAAAATATTTCGAAATCAATATTTTAGCTATTTTTGACAGTAAAGAGTAATGTCTATCATCAGCTTTTGTTCCTATCAAAAAATTTTGTTCCTAGCCGAAGTTATCGCTGGTCAAAGGTCAGCGCTCATAAGTAATTGTACTGTGCGAGCGATTTTCTATCACGCGTAGTGAAAATCGAGTTTATCTGGCGTAGTGAAAATCGAGTCTAAAAATATTTTTTCTCCGACTGTTTTTGATTAATCACCCTGAAACTTTCAAAATATGTGTTATGGATCATTTAGAAGAGATTGTCCGGGCAGAATTTTGAGGAAGGTCTTTAAAACGTTTTTATTATATTTTGAAAATCTTGGACCTCAGCCATGAATAATGTCAATTTCAGACTAAAATATTTAATTTTTGGGAAGGGTGGCTTTTTTTGGAAGGTGCTTCACTATTAACCATATTTTTTATTACTATCATTAATTCAAATATATTTCCAACAAAATTTAGTTAAAAATAACTATGAAGTTTGATTTTGTAAAAAAATTACAGAAGTGGAAAAAAGTCACACTTTCTACGGTACACCCTGTATATAAATGGTAATCCGCATACTCCAGGAAGAATTGAAGCAATCTCAAAAGAAAAGAAGGGAATCTGGATCCTTCGTCGGATCGTCAAAGAGCTTAGAGGGGAGCTCTACGCTTCACTGGCTATGCAAAGCAGGGAGAGTGACGGAGGCGGAGGCACTGCTGGCTGCTGGAACGGACATTAACAAGCTGGACAGAACGCAGTTTAACCCTTTCATGGACGCGATCAACTCAGGTAAATCATTCGACCGCCTTAACAATATGGGTTTATTGGTAATAGTAGCAAGAGGTTTTAGTCATGCGTTTGATTACAGCACAGTGTGAAACCCTGAAGCATACGTCGAGCTCTAAACTCTGTTTTGTCTAATTATCAATTATTTGAATATTGAAGGATTAAATTTGGTAACTTGATGATCACACAATTAACAGGACAGGTCGACTGTGCTAGATGGCTGCTGAGGCAAGACGGTTTAAAGCTTCAGACCGAGATATGGTCGTTTTGTAGGGAGAGGGTGCTAGAGTCATTGCTAACAGCTTAACAGAAGGTAAAATCCTGAACTTTTGTTCATTGATTAAAAATCACCATTCAGACATACAATCGTTCAGATGTAAAAATTATTTATTCACTATTTTGGATTACATTTAGTTACAGGACTAACATGCGACATCCGTCGTTGACCTTTGTCTTTAATTCAACAAGGTAGGGAGAGCGATCCATGGCTGTCCCGATAGACCCACTCAGACTCCTGCCGGAAGATACTCCTCCGGTTGATCCAGATGAGACAGTTCTAGCAGATGATCAGTTACAGACTGAAGAACATATCCCACAGATCAATGCGTCAACATCTGCAAATGAAGATACTTCAATCTGCTCTTCTTGTATATGTCTTTGTGCCTGCGTCTGTGATTGTACTGAAGTGTACTCTGTGTGTTTGTGTCTGTGTCTGTCTTTGTATCGTGTGTGTGTCTCTGATTGTACTGCGTGTGTCTGTAATTGTAATGTAGTGCACTGAAGTGAACTATGTGTGTTTATGTGTGTGTGTCTGTGTGTGTCTGTGTGTGTCTGTGTGTGTCTGTGTGTACTGTGTCTGTCTGTGTGTCCGTCTGTGTCTGTGTGTGTCTGTGTTTATGCCTGTGTCTGTGTGTCTATGTCTGTATGTGTTTGTGGGTGTGTGTCTGTGTGTCCTTGTCTGTGTGTAACTGTGTCTGTCTGTGTGTCTGTCTGTGTGTCCGTCTGTGTCTGTGTTTATGCCTGTATGCCTGTATGTCTGTGTCTCTGTGTGTGTGTGTCTATGTCTGTATGTGTTTGTGGGTGTGTGTATCTGTCTGTGTGTGTGTGTGTGTGTGTGTGTGTGTGTGTGTGTGTGTGTGTGTGTGTGTGTGTGTGTGTGTGTGTGTGTGTGTGTGTGTGTGTGTGTGTGTGTGTGTGTGTGTGTGTGTGTGTGTGTGTGTGTGTGTGTGTGTGTGTGTGTGTGTGTGTGTGTGTGTGTGTGTGTGTGTGTGTGTGTGTGTGTGTGTGTGTGTGTGTGTGTGTGTGTGTGTGTGTGTGTGTGTGTGTGTGTGTGTGTGTGTGTGTGTGTGTGTGTGTGTGTGTGTGTGTGTGTGTGTGTGTGTGTGTGTGTGTGTGTGTGTGTGTGTGTGTGTGTGTGTGTGTGTGTGTGTGTGTGTGTGTGTGTGTGTGTGTGTGTGTGTGTGTGTGTGTGTGTGTGTGTGTGTGTGTGTGTGTGTGTGTGTGTGTGTGTGTGTGTGTGTGTGTGTGTGTGTGTGTGTGTGTGTGTGTGTGTGTGTGTGTGTGTGTGTGTGTGTGTGTGTGTGTGTGTGTGTGTGTGTGTGTGTGTGTGTGTGTGTGTGTGTGTGTGTGTGTGTGTGTGTGTGTGTGTGTGTGTGTGTGTGTGTGTGTGTGTGTGTGTGTGTGTGTGTGTGTGTGTGTGTTCTTTCATAGAAGTTGTTATTTCCAAGATACGAAGTTCGAAAAGCTAGCATTTAGTAATAGACGAATTTTGCAGCTGATATCAGAATCGACATGATGATGGTACTACACGAGATGCTCATGGAAAAGGTCTCCGTTTGCTTTCCTCCTCCCACGAGCAGTACAAAGTGTGGGTTCAACTTTAATCTGATAGAAGATATCGTATGCGGAACCCAAGCCCGGCCATGTCTGTACATAATAACGAAAGAAACCGGTAAGTTTCTAATCATGTAAATGTTCGGCCGAACGTTTGCATTCATTTTAGACTAGTGACGAAAATCAACAATCGTTTGCCAGTTTGGTTTGCAAAATCGACAAAAAATAGTCCATTCCCCATGGCCATGATATTAGAATTCTGCCCGTTGAAATCGGCCACTCTGATTTTTATCATTGAACTTCACATTGATGACATGTTCATTCTCTACAGGTTATGCTGCGAGGGCGTTTACCTCGATAGATGTTGAAAATGCCCACAGCATTATAAATCATTTGGACCGCCGAGGGGTCCAAAACTCCTCAATCGAAGAGCTTAGTAGACATGCCAGCAACCTACAGAGACTTCAAATTCTCAGGAAACCTCTCTAGGACGGTAATACATTAACTTGTTTAGTTAATAAATTTAATAAGTAGATTTTGAGTGATGATTACTGAATACAGATATCGAGCCTCGAGGTACCATAAAAAGGGTATATAAACTTATCACTTATGCTTATATGCTTATACTATCAATGAATATCAAATCGCCTTCTCTAGTTATCAAACCCAACATAAGTTAAATCTCTGCCTACAAGGACTATTTGATATTTACAACAGACCGAGTGAATGTCTCAATCTTTTCAGGAAGCTTTATACTCCGACATCCACAATTTACCACGCCCCTGAGATCGACAAAGGTCTTTCTGATAGATTGACTTCCAGCCAATTCGATCTATCGAAGCCGAGTGGGAAGAACAAAGAACTGAAACCCCATGGTCGCAACGATGCTCCTCGCGGACAAGGGAGAGTTAGGGCCATCGGTGGTCACAAGACTGGATAATATTTATTTTTTAAGCGTTGAGGTTGTCACGAAAGCGTACTGTAACGGGACTATCAGATTTGAGTAATTTGATTTTGTGATTTGCAGTTCACGTGATTTTATTGTGATTTTAGACTGTAAAAACTATAAAGGTTCAAGTTGAACTATCGTCGCCATGATTATGTATTTTGGAACTGTTCACGTTGAAATTGCTTCGTTAATCAGCAGTCTTCCTTGGTTGCTTTCTACTGTGTAATGCAGCTACGATCAACGATACTTAGCTAGTACATTCATAGTAACACTAACTGCACTGAGAAGAGTAAAAAATTTGAGCTTTGACGGAATAACATTTCCTTGTTTTTAGATACGGTTACTACTCTAGTGAGGGGTTCATAGCTGATCATTAAGGTCTTACTCACAATAATTTGTGCTCTGATATTGGCCGTACTGACGGCTGTTGAAAAAGCCACTCCGTCAGATGCGCGCCGCAAGAGTCCACCCCTGTAGACCCCACTACGTACAAAATTTGAAATTTTCCCAAAAACTTCTGATTAAGCTAGTTTGTTTTCAATAACTTTTGCAATATTTACAGTAGACCCTTCAAATTTTCACCAAATGTTACTCCAGACATTTCTGCATGGTAACTGTGTCATAGAATTTTAATTTAGGGACCCAATTTTGTGCAACACTCCGGTATCTGACGACCGGTCGCAGACGTGGTTATTGTATTGTCAACTTCTATTGCACACTGAGCGAGCTATATTTTGAGTACAAAGATAAACTTTACACCAGGTGAAAGCTGAGACGTTTCTCTTTAAGATGATCACCTCACATTCTGTGTATCTGTGACATTGAGATAGTAACGAATCAAAACGTCAAGTTGAACAGGCTACAAAATACGCGCTGAATAAAAGTCCACCCCAGGAGTCCACCCCACGCGCGTAGGGTGGTTATGAACAGGACTGAAAAACGGAAATCCAAAAAACTATATGCAAGGTACAGCAGCAGCTGTTGACATGCACCTGACACTGAACGACTACAGAAAGAGTCCAGGGAGTTTTCTCACATTTGAAAATATGAAGCAGTTTAATCTAGTCCAGGTTGGCACAATTTGATTTATTATTATAATTATAGTACTAAGTTTTGTATTTCTAAAGTTTGATCCGAAAATTCACGACACTGCCCATAAAATGACTGCAATATTGAAGTTTTTAAAAATTCTGCAAACTCTTTCCTCTGTTCGGTTGCATGTTTCAATTCTAATTCTAATTTCGAGCACATTACAGGACACACTGGAGCTGAGGGTAGAATATGTTATATTATATTGTAGACAGCCAAGATCTTAAATGCAGACACCCCAAGAAGCTCTCCCACGAAAGAGGAATTGTAATAAGTTTCCAGTGCAAATACTGGACACTAAAACAAGAGGATACAGCACAGGTTAGAATATTTCAAATAGTTGTACCCTGGTTTAGTATTCCCTCTTGTTATTGTGCTACAAGAAAATATCTGTTTTAATGAAGTATCTATTTTGATTCTTTAGTTAGATACTCATGTAAGCTTTGTGTCATATCTGGACACCCTGAAGCATTCAACTTTCCCTAAACCGTCGCAATTATCAATACTCAATAGTTGCTAACTCCTGCAATCAAGCTTATCATCGCTTGAAGATGATAAGCTTGATTGCAGGAGTTAGCTGCAACTAGGAATTACAAAAGGTTTGTCACATCTTAAAATAATAAAAAATATTATTTGCAAAGTAATGCACAATCTTCACTGGATCGACTTAATCAATAATCGTCCATGATATGTGAGGTAGAGTGGATGAAATACACTTGAAAAGTGATATAGAGTACATTTTGTGCAATACAATGCAGGTTATTAATTTTGGTTCATGAATATCGTACCTACCTGATAAAATTACAGTGCGGGGTGAATCTTATCTCCAATTTGTGGCACATATAATACATTATACTACGATATTATTTAGATAAGCAATAAACCATAAAAAATAAGACACTATCAAACGAGCAGCCAATATTCATGTCAAAATCGTTCAAAAAAACCTCCCGATTATTTTCCAAAAAGATTATTTAGCCAGATCATAAAGAGAGGTTGCAAAGGTTTGACAGTTGTTTGTAATTGTTTGGACAGCAAGTTTAACAATAGGTTTAACAATAGGTTTAACAGCTACAGTACCAACAATATCAACAGCAGTATCTTTAAGAGAAGCAGCAAGTTTAACAATAGGTTTAAGAATAGGTTTAACAGCTACAGTACCAACAATATCAACAGCAGTATCTTTAAGAGAAGCAGCAACATATTCTTTGCCGGCAGACTCTGTTTTAAACATTAGCTCATTAAGTTCGCCAAGTTTAAGAGGTTTATGCATGGTGGCCCACTCTTTTGGATCAAATCCTTTGCTCACAAGAACTCCGCCAGGATGTTGAAGAATATCTCCTGAATTTTCATAAGGGAATATATAGCCAGTGATTATCGATTCTAGAGTGCTTCGCTTCAGCTTCACCCATACATGTGATCTCTCTTGCGTTGAGCAGATCTGTAATGCAGCATATCTCTTGTCGTTCTCCACTAATAAGGCGTGAAACTCGTTACTGTCTGGGTTTTTCTCCTTCTCTTCAGCTGTTGGAATGTAATCTCCTTCTCCAAATTGAGCTACAAAGTAAGCAGGTATGTCTTCCAACCCGGGTATGGTACCCCTTGCCACGAACGCCCAGTGTTGTAGGTAAGGAGTCTTATTTAATGTCAAAAGTTTACCACCAAAACATCCGATATCAGTTAAAAGATTGGATTGGATCAGTTCGGCACACCAGATTGCTTTGTGGGTGAACACGAATCGAGACATAA